CAAGCGTCTCTTCTCGGGCGCGGGCCGCCGGTTTCTCGGCGAGCTCTCCAACGACGTTTACGTGCACTGGAACGCACGCACGGGCCAAATCTTCGTCTACGGCTTCGAGGACGAGTTCCAGAAAGCCAAGCGCGCGATGATCGGATTTCTCGAGCAGTTTGCCGCGCTGGAGGTCATCGACCATGTGCTCATGCTGGACAAGCGCAAGATCAAGTCGCTCAAATTCGCATCCGTGTGTGCGCGGGCTTTTGACCACTACGTCCTCGGCGCCAAGTTGTACCTCTCGGGATCACGCGACGCCATCGAAGCCATTACAGCATCCCTCCAAGGCGCCCTGTTCCCGAAACGCAGCGGACCCCGCACGGTCACGACGACCACACTCGAGTGCCCGCTGTGCCTCTGCGACGTGGATGCAACGACGACGCAGTTGACGTTGTGTGGCCACACCTTTTGCACGGACTGCATCCTAGCCCATGTTTGGGAGCCAGGATACGAAGCTACCTCTGAAATGCCCTCGGGACGGGTGCGAGGCTGCCTTGAGTGTCGAAGACTTCCTGAAGCTTGTGCCGCCGTCGCAACTCGAGGGCTTGGCCGAGAAGGCCGTCGAGCTCTACCGAGTGCAACACGAAGACGCCTTCTCGCTGTGCCTGCAGCCGGGTTGCAACCAAGTGTTCCGCATTGCAGCATACAAGAAAGGTACTCTACCCACAAAGGAAGGACATTTTGTGATGGCCCATGAGTAGGAAAGCAAGGAGGAGATCTCGCCGTGTGCGACAACTGCGAAAAGACGTACTGCATCACGTGCTCCGACAAGTTGGCGACGCCCGCCGACGAGCACCCGGCGGTCACGTGCCAGCTCTATCAGCTCAGCGTGAACCCGACGGTAACCGACCACGCCCGTCGCATCTGCAACGAGATCCTGACGCTCGCATGTCCGAAATGCAAGGCAGCATTCCTCGACTTCTCCGGCTGCACGTGCGTCACGTGCGGCAACACCAACTGCAACACCAATTTCTGCGCCAACTGCCTCGCCTACCACGACTTGGACAGCGGTGCCTGCCACAGCCATGTGCGTAGCTGTCCATCAAATCCAAACCAAGGCGACTACTTTGTATCGGCCCAGCAGCTGCAGGCAACACACGCCAGCGCGCGCAAGAAGCAAACGGCCGCTTACCTGACGCGTGCCACGGTCGCCGGCGACGAACGACGCGGCGTGTGGCAGATGATCGAGCGCGATCTGGCGGACCTCGGCGTTCACTTCACCACGCAGGAACTCGCCCAGCTTTGCATTTCCTAACCTTGCATAACAAGACTGCATTTCAAGTACAATGGATATACCGGTATCTATCTATCTATCTATCTATCTATCTATCTATCTATCTATCTATCTATCTATCTATCTATCTATCTATCTATCTACATATCATTTTGACTTCAATAACGGCAAAGTCCAAAGATCGCGATCTTGAAGAGGCGTGATGGAGGCCAAGGCAGCGGCGACCAGCGGCAAGGACATCTTCGCCGTGCTCTCGGCCATGGATCACAGCGACGAGCCGTCCGATAGCAGCAGCAAGGAAGGCGACGACTCGTACACGCTCGTCGTCGGCCCAAAGAACAGCGGCAAGTCGTCGCTCATCATGTACTTCCGCAACCCGACCAAAGGTACGCCTCGACCTCTTGCGCCAAGGTCATCGCTTTGGCTAGTCGACGAGCCCAAGCCCACGGCGGCGCTCGACTACTACTACGCGCGGCGCGCTGTGCCTGGCTCCAACCGCAAGACCGTCGCGCATATCTGGGAGCTTGGTTCGTCGGCCTGTCTGTCTCTGGCACGCATTCACCCTTGATGTAGCGGCGACCAAGCGCGTCAAGGATCTAGTGTGTGTACCGCTGTCGCCAGACCGCGTCGCCAACGCCGTTCTCATGGTCGTCGTCGACCTCTCGACACCAGGCGACGCCGTGCCGTGGCTCGTCAAGTGGCTCACGCTGCTCAAGGCGGTCACTACCGACGTGCTAGCCGCTGCGTCCAAAGCGCCGGCCAACGCCAGTGCAGTCGAGAAGCTCAAGGGCGAAGCCATCGCTCGGTACGGCCCGGCCCACCCGGACAAGAAGGACGTGGTCCCGCTGCCGATCCCAACGCTCATCGTTTGCTCCAAGTTTGATACCTTTCGCGACGAAGACGGGTGCGACGATGGGGGCAGTCGTTCTCGAGTATTGAGAAGGGGTGGGTAGGGTCAAGCGCAAGGGGATCGTGCAGGCGCTGCGGTACCTCGCCCATACGTTTGGCGCGACGCTGCAATTTACGAGCCTCAAGGATAAGGCCCTCGGCGCTCAGGTCTATCGCCATTCCTTGCAGCACTCTGGCTTTTTGGCGTATTGATGGAACCATGGGACTAGTTTCGGACGTGTGTGAACGCCCATGTATTTCACACGGAAGGCAAGACAACCAAGGAGGTCGACCCGGCCAAAGCGGTGTTTGTTCCTGCAGGTAAGAGTCTCGATTGAAAGTCGAGCAGAGTGATGATAGCAGTGACAACGCAGGCACCGACTCGTTTGAAGACATTGGGTTGCCAAAGGGCAGTCGGCCCCAGGACTTCGACGACGGCAGTCTCGAGAAGCGGCTCAAAATGTGGCTCAAACTCACAGCCGAGCTCTACCCGCCAACACCCAACCGTATATTCCACTAGCTTTGCAGCAGTATAGACGCACATGTGGGTAGTTCCAGATCTGGGTACGGACGTTCTCGAAGACGAGAAGGACGACGCCGAAGAGAAGTTTCCAGCGCCCGCCATTGACGCCATGCGTCGGCAGAAGCGGTGCTACTACATGTGATGTGCCGCATCTGATGCCAACTAGGGAGGAGCTGCGACGGTACCGGGAGAAGAAGGCGCAGTCGGAGAAGAAAGCAGCGCCGAAAAGGAAGCGAAAGACTAAGTTCTTGTCCTCGATTCGAGATACAAATAATACCTACTGGAAAGTGTACGAGCTGAGCTCGTTGCCTACTGGAATGTGTACGAGCTGAGCTTGTTGCTGCTGTCGGTGGCAAAGACGGTGCTGCCGAAGACCGTCACACGCGCCCAGTTGGCGTTAGGCAGCGTGGTCCAGTTGACGTCGTCGGTCGAGCAGACAATAGTCTTGTCGGCCGTGGTGACACCGCAGACGCGACCGCCGCCGACCGAGACTTCGCTGAGCGTCGGTGCGCCCGCGACGTGCACCCACGACGCGGTCGAGACTTCGCCCGTTGGAAGCGACCCCTTGGAAAGCACGCCGGATGCGTTGATACCGTAGAGCGTCTTGCCGCTCACCGCGAGGTCGACCATGTTGCCATCGAGGAAGCCATTGCTGCCGTCGATTGAATAGAACATGCTCGACGTTGCCGTCGTATAGCCAATAACGCCCTTGTCGCCCCATGTCGCTGCGGCTGGTTCGGGCAAAAGGGAGATAGTATAGGTCGCGTCCGGGCCAAACGCGTCGGTGGCGTAGTGCTCTCCGTTCGAGACAACGCCAGCCAGTTTCCCGCCAACAAAGCCGCTTTGGACGTTCCTGTACGCCATAAACCAGGTCAGCGGCGTCGTCGCCGGCGTCGTGCAGACAAAGTTGGCAGAGGTGTCGATCGCGCAGAGCGTGGAGCCGTCGTACGAGACCGAGGTGTAGATGTTGTCGTCGTTAACCACCGTCCAGGCGGGACCGACGTCACCACAGCCAGTGCGGAGGATGGTCGTGGCAGCGGCACCAGCCGAGAGCGTCGCGAGAAGCAAATGCGAGAGCATCGAAGACAATTCGAAAATGATCACTCGAAACAAGGCTGGTGTGGCGTGCTGAGCACAAGAATGATCGCATTCGACATCTGATAGCGATGATCTCTGGGGTGCATTTCGCCATCTATTTTTTGTATATCAATACTTCATGCCATTCTCATCGACTTGATACGTACATATAGCTGGTTGACGCGACGTAAGCTGGAATGAAGCGGGTTGGACCTTTGTCTTGGACGATGTTGTTAGTTGGTGGTCTACGCATGGTCACTTACTCATAAAGTATTTTTGCATTTAAACGATCGTCAATGTAATACATAATTCAGCTGATAGGCTATCAGGCGTCTCCGTGATAGCGATCACTGAACCGCACGCCCACCAGCCCCATCGTTTCAACGTCTAGCTGATCAAATGGCTGGTACATCGATGGTCAGTACTCTATGACGACTGAAGGCACCTCGAGGTGCCCGAAGACTGTACGACGCAGATATATGAAGATCACGCGGCGGCTCTCGTCCCTCTCCGACTGCCCTAGAACGTGCTTCCCCGCGGCAGGGGCGGTCCTCAGCCAATGCAAGGGTCTACAGTGTATCGTTGGCTAGTTGAGAGGACCCTCGAGAAGTAGGTATTTGCCGCATCTATGCTGTCTGTGTGCGACCCAGGTAGGACAGACGTAGCGGCCTCAGCGTCTTTTCACAAAGGTCGCGTCCGGCACATTTTACGGCTCCATTTCCAGGGCGATCGTCTGGATAGATCTCAGTTGTCAAAGACTTAAAGTTGTGGTTTGTTGGGTTTCGGGTTTATCCTGCCAGCGTCGCGTAATCCAATACATCTGCCTGCTTTCTGCGAGATTATAACCTTTTTCGCTGTGTTGTTTGGATTGCACCGCAGACGCCACCTCACGTCAGCATGGAACGAGCCAATTCGCTTGGCGCCGAAAGCAAGGGCACGCGTTTGATCAACGCATCACGTCCAAGGACGACCTATCGGGCCTCCTGAACCGACCACCCGCTCGGGACGACGTTGAGACTCCTAGTATATTTTTTAGAAAATAAAAATTGGTTTTCGGGGGTGGGGTGGACGAAGCCTGGCGCCAAACATTTCTGCTTTGGCCGCCCAGCGCTAAATTCACCCATCGCACCCGGGCTCTGGTTTAGCCCCAACACTCATGCCTCGTCTTGTGCTTGGACGCGAAGTGACCACGTAGGAAACACGTGTTTTTCTGCATGTGCGCTTGGACCACTTCGCCATGTGTCTTGTTCGCTTTGCGGCAGACCAAATTCACCGCGGCGGCTCCAGAAAGGCCGAGGCCTTTCCTGCTGCATTGACTCGCGTCACCGATAAACGCGTGGTTGCAGACAACCAATTCACTCGGACGTGCCGTCTGGTGGCGGCGCGATAACCTCCTACATCACAATGCGTCCACGCAGTCGACGTCACGCGGTACCTTGGCCAGCGCACGTAGCATTTTGTCGCAGAGGTGCGGTGTTGGCAACTACATGACATCTCCGCGCCTGCATTGCTCTTGGACTCACATCGCACCATGGTCAGTAATGCATTTGCAAAGGTCTGTGAGCCATGACATTAGCATGAACCGCTTCGTTGAAATTCGTACCGCGTCAAGTCGGGTGCTCGTCACTAGAACCGCTTTCATCTTTTCCCAGTGCGTCTACGCACCGTTCGAATCCACGCAGAGTGCAGCAGCCTCGACGCACCGGGCGAACGGTCGCGTGCAGGAGGCGCGTCACGAGCCTAGGATCCGAACTGTCTCGCAGCGCCAGCAGCGCGGCTTCGCGCACATCCTAGCTCGCTCGTTCGTTTGAAAGATAAGGGTGCAGACTTAGAGATATACCTCTCTGTCGAGCGGTCCGTTCTGCAGCATGCGCTCGACAATGTCTAACGCCTTGCCTTGGACGGCGGCAAGAAGTGGCGACCGGCCCAGCTAGAACCAAAGAGGTGCATATTGGATTGGTGGCTGCTACAACCGACCGGCATGCGCAAGGTCGCGCTGGCGTCGGCGTCCAGCAAGAGGCCGGCGACGTCGGTATGTCCCCGCGCGGCCGCCCAGAACAACGCTGTTTCGCCGTACTACGCTGCCATCATGAGTGAGTTTGATCGGCGAGATGTAGATTGAGTACACAATTGGTTGCGTCGACTTGCGCATGGCTGGCCAGCAGCAGCGCGACGATCGCCACGTGTCCCTCTTGGGCCGCCGCCATGAGCGGTGTCTCGTCCAGCTACGGTCATTGAGCATCGCTCTCAACAGCATTGTCATGATCGTACGCTTGTGGGCTGGCCGACGTTGGCATTGGCTTGGAGAAGGAGGCGAGCCATGGCCTCGTCACCCTGGAACGCAGCGCGGTAGAGTGGCGAATGCTGGCGCTACGCTGCGTCACGACAAGCCATGCCAAGGCGAAGTGCTGTACCGTGTCGGGTCGATTGACGTCGGCGCCCGCTGCTAGCAGACGCCGCGCGACAGCGAGGTCGCCCGACCCGGCGGCCACGTGCAGCGCGGACGCACCGTCCTATCCCAGATGCGTTGTCATGCAGAGCAGACAGGGCGAGCGCAGCTGTACCACATGGAGCGCCGCATCAGGCTCGATGCCTTCGGCGAGGATGGCCTGGAGAGAGGCCGCGCTGCCTCGGCGGGTTGCGGCCAGAAGCGCGTCGCCACCACGTCCTTGCATCTTTCTCCGTGTGTCATGTCACAGCCGTGCAGCCTCTGGATTGGCTAAAATTCAGTAGGCCAACACGATTGCGGCATGCTCATTCGCTGAAACGGAGTATTCAGTATCCGGATACCTGGCAGTCCTCCATTGCCAGTTGGCTCGCGTGCTGGATTGCAAGGTAGACGACCTTTTCGAGTGCTGCACATTCTATCCAAATACACGAGCTATCTAGAACGAAGCCGGTATCTCCACCCCACTCTAGTGCCTCGAAGATAGCAGCTGAACTGCAATTGTGCATTCAAGACAAACATGGGTCCGCGCCAAGAACAGCCGTGTCGTATCGAGGACTGGGGGTCCTCGCGCTTGGCAATAATATCCTCTGGCGCCAGTTCAATGCTTCCAGTGCAGTCGCTCGTGCAAGGAAATATCTCTAGCTGTGTGGCACATCCAGCTCGGCATGCTCATAGGTTAGCGGGCGGGCCGAGTCCCTCTGCAGCGTCACGCGACGACCACTTGCACGGACCGACGCGTCTTGACGGGCATCTCGATATCAGCTGTGACATGTCAATAGTCGTCTTCATCTCTTTTCAAATCCACGTCACGCCGTTCCCTCGGGGATGTGCAACGAACGCGCGTTCGTCGTTGAATTTGGCGCGCTATTTTCTCGTCCGAGGATCCGCCTTGCAAGGAACGTCTGTACACTCGCGCCCTCCCAAGCCTCTTGCATAGCTAACTGCGTTGGCATGTCGACCCGAGATATCTCGGGATGAATCTCGACCCCATACACATGCTGTATCACAAGCTGGTCGAATCGTGCGGCTGCAAATGCTCTGTATCACGTGACGTCGTGCGCACGTGTAACCACCGGATTCGAGCGTTTCGCTGTCTTCCCTAGTCCTTTTACTAAACTACGCGCAAGAGGTCTGGGCGCTGTGTTGGTGCGTGGACACGTCGATGCTAGTCAGCCACGCTTCCAGCACATAGGCGTCGCAAGGACACGTCTTCGCACCAAGCCACGACGACTCGGCCGATTCAATGGACAGCTCCAACGCACACGCACTTGAAGGCAAGGCCCGTGACGACAGCGGGCAGTAATGACGCTGGCGCGGTGACGCCGAGGCGAGTCCGTCCCCGACCGCCAACATTTGATATTTTATTGCGCCACAGGGGCGGAATGTATAGGGATGTAAAAAATTCGGCCACCCCGCTTTAGTGACCTCTGCCAAAAGGTGATAGAAGGCGTTTATCACGTCGCTGCTGCGTATCCCAAGCACGCTTCGAGACCAAGCCAAAGTATCAACTGCTCGTGTGTTGCTATTACCTTTTTTCCGTTGCCGGTCTCTCGAGCACGCGTGCGGCAGAGATTCCCTCGGCACCGGCGACTTGTTCTCGACTTGATGAATTTCCTCGCACCACGCTACCACTGCCGTCCGTGCGGCGACTGACTTTGCTGCGTGTGTGGCCTACAGTCCTCTGTATGCATTCGAATCCAGGTCCACGCTACCCTCAGTCGGCAATTCCAGTCCTCTAAAGCCAAATGCGAGCGCGCGTACTTGGCGCCACAGGATGGATGCGTTCGCTTCACGCGCATGGCTACTCGGACAGGCGCTGGCGGTTTTATACTGCAGGATAGCGTTGCAGTTCAAGTCGCGTGGTCGACACCGTCGCCGCCAAAGTCTCCTCTCTGTCGCTCGCAGGTCTTCGTCCTCGGCGCTGGAGTCACATTGAACCATCCTATGATTATATCACTTGCTGCTGAATCGCCAAATGTCCTTAACGCTAGGTGATAGATTCGCCACATGTCACTAAGCCGGGGAAGAGACACGCGGCGGTGGATTATCCGGATGACACGGCGTGCGCGCTCGACAGTCATTAGCACGATGTCATGGTTCTGGTCGCGGAAGGTATGCGTCGGAGGCAGTAGCGGCGTAGCTAACGCGCGTGATACGCAGGATGTGCGCCTGGCGCAGGCCGCCAAGGACGGTAACCTCTATGACGTGACCAAGCTGCTCGACGCCGGCCTCGACCCCAACAGCTTTGACGAGGTACGAAGCCGACGACGGCTGCGCGATGATCGACGTCCGCGCGTGGGTGCTGTAGGAAGGTCATTCGCCGCTGTACCTGGCGGCGGCCAAGGGCCATTACGCAGTCGCCTCCGTGCTCTTGCAGGCGCGCGCCGACATCAACCGAAGCGATCGCGTACGATGCCATCGAGTTGCGCGCTCCAGCGACGGATGATTGTGCTTGAGTAGGTGGGCCAGACGCCGCTGCTGATTGCAGCCTGGTATGGCCACGACAAGGTCGTTGCGATCTTATTGCAGGCCCGCGCGGACGTCAACAAGGGCCGACGGGTATGAATCCTACAGTCGCGCTGGCGTCACCGCGCCTGCCTAGGACGGATGGACCCCGCTGCACATCGCGTCCTTCAACGGCCACGCCGCTGTCGTCAGCCTGCTGCTCCAAGCCCGCGCCGACATCAACCGGATCAGCAAGGTACGAAGCCAATATAGTACAGGCAAGGCTCGAGCTGCCGTGATGGTAGGTGGATCGAACACCTT